AGCAGAGTACGTAGTCTTGTAATTATAGAATCTGTGACAGCAAGAATACAAGAGCGACAACAGAGGTACTGCTCCTAAACCCTGAAGTACCCTAGCCCCCGCTCTTGAATAGGCTCAAACACCACCGAAATGGTGGATAACTGAGGGGGGGGTACCATATATATATATATATATAGAGGGAGAGAGAGAGAGAGAGAGAGAGAGAAAGAGAGTATCAATATGTGAGTATCAAATTAGATATTCTACCGAATCTGGCAATGATCCTCAACCACAAGTGCTGCCGCTGCTGCTGGTGCGCTTTGCCAGGCTCATCATCGCCTTCACCGTCTCAGGATCGGCCTGGGCGCAGGCAGTCAACGATGAAGACTACGATGAGGACATTCCGTGCATGACTTTCTGGATCCAAGCTTCGACGACCTTCTTGAAAGCTTTCAACTCTTCCTCCGTGATGCTATCAATTCTCGCCACCAGGTCCTCTCATAGCTTGTGCTACATTGACATGCGTGTGCTGCTTGTGGTAAGTGAGCTGATCCCGCTTGCAGTCCTTGTTCAGCAGGCGCTTCGACTCCCGGAGTGCGAACCTTGATGCTGTGCCAATGTACCCAGCCAAGAAGCCTCCTTTGCCGTGGGGCCCTAAAGCGAGCCAAGGGACTGTGGCATTGCGGCCAGCTTTTTCGCAGCTTCAATTGCTTTGGCGAGCACCTGCACACTAGCCGCATAAAAAATCCGAAACGGCCATAGTAGTTGAATCCTATAGCCCACACATACGTATCCGAGCCTCTTCCGGAGCTACCACTGCGGTGCACAGGCCCAGCCTGCAGTTGACGATACATTCGTGTGGATCAGGTTGAACGCCACATTCATGCCAGCCAGGCGGCTCTAGAGCTTCCTTTGCAGAGAACTCTCTGCCAAGCCTTCGTTGCGGGCCCCACGAAGCAGAGACCCCAAAGTCCAGAAGTCTCTGAAGTCTCTGAAGTCAGCAAGGGAGCTGCAGGAGTTCCTTGGCCCGCACCAGGCCAACCACCTGCGGCCTCGTGTCCCGAGATCGGGGGTTGCAGGCATCGTCACTGAAGCATCCAATGTGGCAAAGGAGCAGCAACACTGACGAGCCCAGTTCTGGTGTCAGCCCCAGCTCGCCGAACGGGTAGCGAAATACTGCATCCTTCGGCCCGCAGACCAAGCAAAAAGCAAGAACAGCACATATGCTTAGATCCAGCCACTCGTTCTTCTATCGCATCTAGAAGCAACTTTCCGAGTAGATGCCAAGTCTTTGTGCGGTCCTGGCTGACGTAGACCTTAACTCAGAAGACAGGCGCAAAGAGAGGACGTTCGGTGCCAAGTCTGGCGAATTCAAACACCAAAGCCCAGGCACAAAGTCCTGCCAGACCAACGCGAGGTTCACGCCTCCGCCGATGGCCATTCCATTTACCGCTGCGATGGAAAGCTTTGGCAGCTTGATCATGGCCTCTGACTCTGCTGCCGCAGAGGTCATCTCACAACTCATCTCCTGACTACTCTCGCGACTCTCAGCGCGCCCGTGTGGGGCCAGACAACGAGATGTCCGGCAGCCGGGTTGCAATGCCTGCCTCAGCACACTCACCGGACCGCAGAACAAGCAGCTTTACACAGCTCAATGGAAGCTCGATCAACTGTGAAGCTGCTGAGTTTGTCTGATGAAGCTAAGCTGCGCGGACATAGCCCTCGTAAACCTGTGGGCAAGGCCCCCATCAACAAAAGCGCAGCACTAGCAGTCACTAGCAGAATCCGTGACTCTGCGGCACCTCTTCCGGAACGGTCGTACTGGCATCTGTGAAGTTGCCACCCGCACTGAATGCTCGTCCGGCACCTGTCCACCTTGGCGCTCGAGCGCTCGTGGCTGGAGAATTGCTGGGCACGGTATGGTACGGTGTAGTGAAGCTGCTGCTGCTGGACTGAGCAGTGCGCACAATGACTTTGCATCGCTCGTCCCTCTTCACATGCTCCTGATATCGCAGTGGGCCAAGACTCCTGTTAGCGCAGTGCTATGGTCGCAGGATTGCGATTTATGCATCGCCCAGTTTCAGCCAGGTGGCGAGCAACAGGGACACCTGCTCTCCAGTATGCGTCTGCAAAGCATTCCGGCAAGCAAAGTGAAAGCCCAAAAAATGAGGCCTCCTGTGCCAGATTCAAGCTCATGCAGTTGAGCCGTGCGGGATCATTCAGCGTGATGACGAAGACTCCGTTGCCTGCCTAAGCACGGTACACATCGCAGCTTTGGGGTTCGAGTCTCGAGGCCTCGAAACGCCAAGTTGCATCCTGATACATGATCCGACTCATCTTGTAGGGCCTGGCAACTTGACAACACCGCTGCCAGACTGCTGTGGGTGCTGCTCTCAAGAAAGTGCCCGCTTCGGGGGATCCAGCGCAGACTCCCCGGAGTAGTAGAGTAGGATCTCTTCCGCTTCGCCCAGGGCCGCCATAGCTTTCCAGGCCAGGAACCACAAGCCGATGGGGCAAATAGCCTGAGCCTTAAACCTGCAGGAAATACATAAGACATATATATATATATATATATACACATATACGTATGTATGTATGTATGTATGTATGTATGTATGTATGTATGTATGTATATATATATATATGTATGTATGTATGTATGTATGTATGTATGTATGTATGTGTGTATATAATATAATGAATATATACACATGTGGCGGCAAGACACACAAATGAAGGACCCGGAGTCAGCATACACAGGTGCCGGGCTCTGCTGCACCAGCTCCCTGACTGGAGCGCATGAAAGCATTTTCCCAAAGAACAGATCCTCAAATCCTCAAGTCTCTCGTGCTGAAAACTCCGCGGCCTGCTCTTCCGAATTCCCTCCACCGCTGAGGCCAAGTTCCGCTCCAGCTCCTCCCATTGGCCCCGATTCCCGCGCAAGTCCGAACGGCGCGGGCGTCCGCAGTAAGCAGTAAACGAGAGAACCTCGAATCAGACTACACTGAACCGTTTCCGGCGAGACACGAATGGTTGTGGTGGCACTGGCTTGCAGTCCTGCGCCTGATTCAGCGCAGCAGCAAGGAGGTCCTGGAACCATGACGGGACGGGCTGCGATTCAACTGCGAGATGGGGGCCGTGAGGCTCGAGAAGCATTAGAGGACGGCCTGGATGAAGCTTGAAAGCTTGAGCGCGCTGCTCGACTTGACCTCAGCTCCATCGGAGCATGATGGCAGAACCGTCTCAACAGTGGCGAACGTCTCCAAGCTTCCAGCCTCTCGTTGCAACAAGCTCATCTGCTCCACCGCGTCGGTCAACAAAGACCTGAAACGGCATCGCTGGGAAACTAAAACCTGGCATGCTACCGGACACTCTGTCGTCACCCTTGGATGTCGGTACGCTCACCCTTCGTCTGATATTCTGTTAGCCTCGTATCTAACCTTTTTAGATATATCACACTTTCTGCGATGCTGTGACGTGTGTCTCGGTTTGCTTCCATGAGACCTGTAGTGAGAACATCCCTTGAACTGCCTGTTTCCTCCTCTTGCTTCCTCCGACAAGAATGAACCAACGAATCTGCTTCGACGGTTTTCTTTGCCAACGCCGCGTGCTCTTGCGAAGCTCTGCCACACTTATAGGCACTGACCAACAAAAGCTACGATGTTGTACCGGTGGTGTGCTCCACAATTCTCGAAACAGGCGCTTAATCTGTGGCTTGATGAGCACTCCCAGCCTTCGCAGAAATGATTCCAAAATGTGCCGATGCAGTGCTGCAGTACATCAAGCACTGCATCAATCCGTTTGAATATGATCAATGAGCTTCGATGTTTACAACGTGCCGACGAACCGCCACGTCATGACTTTGCTCGTGCCGGCAGTCGCAGAGGCAAACAAAGCTGCATACAAAGATGATTTCGCCGACAATCCTGCTGGATGTCGGCTACTCCATGAGTGTCGACACCAAAACCAACTGTACTCGGTATGCAGATTCATAAAAATGCTGAGCCCCTGACACCAAGTCTCCCTTCTCTGGAAAGGTAAGCTGGACAGGCGGAGGTGATGATCGCAGTGACGACTGCAGTGATGACCGCAAGGTTTGCATCGCTCTGTTTCGGTCTTGATCTTCTTGGGCATCGTCCTGAGGGAGGGAACGTCCGAGTCCGCCTTAACACGATATTCGACACGACAGGCCTCGTCGTTGTCGTCCGACGAGAAGAAGCTTTGAGGAGATGGGAATCCTTTGCTCCCACCTGGTGCCACTCCATCAGGAAAGGCTCGAGTTCTTGTTGCAATGGCACCTTGTGCAAGCTGAAGACAGTCCGGTCGGTCAGACGACAGATTCGTCCCAAGCGATGCCTTATCGGAGCAGATCTACCACGATCTACTCTACGGCGACGGGCTTCAGCCCATCAGTGACGGAAAGAATCAAACAACCGAAACCTAAGGCATTCCATGACAGCACAGAGGGAGGTTCACACTGAGACGCTGGCAGTTGGAGAGTGGCTCATGTCCTGAGAGAGGCAGATTTACATGCGACACCGAAAACGAGTCTGAACCTGCATGGGGGACGCAACGTCTCAGCCAGCAGCCGTAGCTTTCATGAGGAACTCTTCAAAGCTCGGGGCAGGGCACTCACCTGAGGGCTCTCCCCATGTTCGCGAGAGCTTCGTCGCCCGTTGACAGAACCCTTGGAGGAGCGGGCCCAGAGCGCCCTCCAGAACCCAGAGGCATGCTGACAGTTCGGCATCGTCTTTGGGAGGAAGATCTCGGTCGCACTCTCTTATCTCCGACCACGACCTTACGACTGAAATACCTGAGCTCCGAGCCCAAGTGCGACAGACCTTCCGCCAGCTCTTCTGCCGAAGGAAGGACGGTCACCTTTCGCTGAGGACTGAAGCAGCTGCTCTGGTGGGGCTTGATGTAAGGCAGAAACCACCCCGGCCGTGGCCAACCCAACGATGTTGTCGTAAATTAATTGCAGCCTCGTGGACACGGCAGCGCCGCTCAAAGAGAATGATATTCAGACGTTCATGATATTCCACAAAAGGGCACTTCCTTACCCGCGCCTCCCCGCATCATCCACCGTGCCCATGCCACGAGCTCAGGCATGAATCGCGGGCACGTGCCGGTGCCCCGCTTGCACTTCTGTCACTTCTGTCGGTGATACTAAAAGGACCGCTTCCATGAGTCCACAAAGGCTGGCAGACTGTCTGAGGATGCACACTGACATGAAATAGTAGATGGTCAGTATCTCGTAGCAATTCTCAACCGTGGCCTCATGTGAGCCGGGAGAACACGGTCGGCTGATCGCTCGGGACTGTTGTGGAGGCGATCGCACCGTTGTTGCAATCACGCCCGAAACTCTTGCTTTTGAAAACATCTGACTTGCGAGTCAGGAAACCTACGGCCTAGGATCCCGTCTTAACTTAAATTGCGGAAAATCCGAAACTATCTACATATGGCCAGTCCGTAGCAAGAACGGCGCTGACGTTGCTGGCATCCGATTGTACTCAACACGAAAAACATCGACAAAACCGTGTGAAGAAATCTGACGGTGACCAGCATATACTTGTACGTCCTGACCGCTCATCTTGTGACACGTTGCAGTGACCCAGCCGGCAGCATCGGGATCTGCAAAGGGACCCGTCCGCAGCCGCCTCGAACACAATGAAGGTGAGAGCAAGACAAGGCCGTGAATTCACGCAGCATCCACGAAAAGGCCTCTGTTGTAGGCTGGGAAGCTCATTTCACCTGACCCATGCTGGCAGCGCATTTCAGGAAGGCCCCGGGCACCCTAGGCCCTATGGACCTTTTGCCCTGTGTGCCTCGAAGCCAAGGGCGCGAAGCAGGCGGCCACCGTTGCCCTGTGCGCAAGTCTTCTGCTACCCTTCATAGGCATCCGCAACCCAGGATCTAAAGAGGATGTGCTCCTTGTGCTCGAGGAGCTTCATAGACATAAACTCAGAAGGCACCCAGCTCGACTCTGCATTCCCATTCTGCAAGACGACGTGACAGATGGATAAGGGTTCCGCGTACCAAAAGGTCTCCAGCCATGGGACGACAAAGTGCTGGTTCAAAAGGTCGCCAGAGGGAGCTACACAAAGGTAGAAGCCCCAGACCTTCGTGGAACTGCCGGCTAACTAGCAGGACATAGCGGACTCGAGACCAAGCCCAGAACAGAGCAGATGACGCCCCAGTACCTGGGTCTTGTGTGTCGATGCCCTACGCAAGCAGAAAGGGTAGTGCCTGAGAGCGCAGCTGCGGATCACTAATGCCGATGTTGTAAGGAAATGACGTTGCCCATGGCCTTCGTCCCAGCAGGTGCTTTCGTTGGAACCGCCAGCACATACCCAACATGTCGTGACGTGCTTCAGGAGCCCGGCACATCATATCCAAGCTGCGACCCGTAGTAAACCTGAGACGATTCGTGAAAAACGAAGTCTGCCCTTCAGCCTTCAGCTGCCATGTATCGACAGCCAGCACGATGCAAGCAGTGACTAGTGACTAGCGGATAGACTGCTCTAGGCAGCCGGCTCCCTTTGCGCCGATGGTTTTGAAGGTCGCAGAGTTGAGCAGCTGACCCACGCCCACCAACGCCAAGCCCGGACCTTGGCTGAAATCTCTGCGGACTTGGCACCACCTCCCAACTGATGGTCGCGGGCCCGCCGCACTTTTGTCCTATGACCTGCTGCTGATTCACCGCGTCGCTTCCCTATTCAAAAAGTTGTTGAACTATAGCGGCCGCGAATCACGGAGAGTGGACAACTGACAACTTCGATGTAATTATCACTTCCGTCTAAGTACTCCATGCGAGTGCCGCTCGATGGCAGTCCATCTGAGGTATGCATCGGCACAACTACCCTAACAAATCAAATTACATCGCGTTGTTTCTGCGATGCGGTGCCGAGCAATTCCTCGGCACAGATTTGCGAAGCCGGCGACGCATCGACAACTCACTTCGACATCTCTCCAGTCTTCTTCGCCACGAAGTTGTATGCCTGCTACGGTAACGAAGAGTCGGATCTCCGCAAAAGGTCCAGGTGCGCGCCTTCAGACCGTACTCGCCACCCTTCTTGCCAAGGTCGCTGACCTGCGTCACGTAGTCGGCATACTCCTCAATGGACCTGAAAGCAGACAAATCAAGTCAGACGCCAGACATTCATGAAAGTGTCCATGATGTCAGCCGCCATGAATCTGTTGCAATTGTAGCCGAGCCGCTTGGTCTTCTTCACGAAACTGAGAATTCCGCCGGTGGACAGGCCCCAGCCTGTCAGAAACAGAAACCGCTCGGGTTTTTTGGCTTCGATCTTCGATTCCGATGGGCACCCAAAGCTGCGAAGATCAAGCCCGTGGTGAAGCCGCCAAGGAGGGGCAGCAGGAGGCCGAAGACACCCCAAAAGACCTCAGAGACGAAGTCTGGGTCTCGAAATCTCCGAGTCGCACAGCTGAGTCCCTTGCAATAGAGGCACTGCTGATGTTCTCCTCGTTCTCCTGCTTGAGAAGCTCTGACAGTCTTGAATCTCACCTGCCTTCGCTATTTACAGATTCCCCGTCCGGGTACTCCGCCAGGGAGAAGGAGCTGGACCTCTGCACACACCGCAACAGCATGAGCGTTTACAGTCCACTCCGTCTCAGTATCGTGCTCTGCTGCCAGGGCCACCTTCACACTCCGACGACATGGAGCATTGCAAGGCGCAGCGGGACAGCAGCAGGAGAATCTCTTTTTTGACTGCATCAAAAACATGTTCCGTACCTTTTACTTTGGAAGCAAGTGCCACAGATCTAGGCTCGTGTCAGCTTTCACTATAGGCCAGATGTCGTTTCGGTGATGGGCACCGAAAAACAGCGCCTCGTGTCGACAATGCCTAAAGGCCTTTCAGTGTCCCAAACAAAAAAGAACCCAGAACCCACTGCATGCCGTTCGTCTTCAAAGTAAGCCAAACCCTGGTGCCTTGGAAGGCAGCTGAACTGACCGCTGCGGCACTCCCGAGACGAAGGCCTGCATCACGATGGTTTCCAGGGAACATGTGGGTAGTTCTCCAAGTTAGGGGTTCCCCTTTAGGTCCCCATTATAATACGGCACCCTTATAAACAAGGACCCTAAAAGGGACCCTAATTTAGAGAACTACCCATGTGATCCCAGAGTCATACCGGACAAAAGGCCACATGAGGGCTGAGAGTGTAAATGGCTGGTAACTAGGGCGTTCCATCTTTTGTCCGTCTTCTGACTGTTAAACATTGTGAAATGCCTTATTATCAGATCCCCCTACCCTAAACCTCTAAACCCTCCCAGTGCGGATTTCGGGACTTTCGGAGGAGCAAACTCCAACACAATCGGATCCAGCCTCGCTTCGCAGCAGAGCCTCCGAGCTCTGCGAGATGCTGCTACAATATATAAGACATAACATGCAAAAGGACATATAGTAGGAAAACAGAATGTAAAACATATAAAGATGTGTACATATATACACACGCACAGTCTCTGTCTCTATCTCTATCCCGATCCCTATCTCTATCTATCTATCTATCTATCTATCTGTCTATCTATCTATCTATCTATCGATCTATCCGACCTATGTATATATGTGTATACAAAAGCCAAACAAAAACAGATAAATCATCAATCGTAGTATGTTTAGTAATATACACACATGTGTATGAATATATATATATATATATGCTACCCCCCCCCTGGGTTATCCACCCGTTGC